TAAACCCTAAACCCCTAAACCCTAAACCCTAAACCCTGAACCCTAAACCCCAAACCCCTAAGCCCTATAAACCCCTAAACCCCTAAACCCCTAAACCCGAAACCCTAAACCCCTAAACCCTAAACCCTACAAATGTAGGGTAATTGAATCCCATGGCAGCCCCTGAGCCTGGGCCCCCGGGGTTTTTTTCATCGGGATCCCCAGGAACACAAAGGGTTTAGGGCTTAGTGTTTAGGGTTCGCTTACGTTTCGAGGGGGGGTTTGATTTCAGGTTGTTAAAGGAGCGAAAGGGTTTAGGGTTTAGGGTTTAGGGTGTAGATAATATTGAACGGATTGATCGAAGCTGCCGTTTGACCATTTTGGTAACGGTGTTTCTGCAATGCTTCGTAGTCCATGGTTGAGTAAACCCCAAACCCTAAACCCTCACCCCAAACCCTGAAACCCTTCGCCCGAAACCCTCCTTTGTGCTCTTGGTTGTTAAGATTCCAAGAGTAAAGTATGAGGCCATCTATACTGTTGATGGACGAAATCCTGCATCAGTTAAAAATTGGAGGCGGGGGGTCCCTTTGGGTAAACCCGAAAATGAGCCGCAGGGTCCTGCTGTGAAATCTCGCCTCCTCCAATGGATTTGGGCTTTGCGTAGGGAGTCTCCACCCCCCTCCCCCCCCGCCGCCCCGCTACCGGGTCGTGCACGATTTCAGCCTCTGGCTAATACAAAATCTAGCGGTAGCTTTTATTCTACGCTTCAAAGAGCATGAAGAAACCATACCCCATAGTCCTAGACCTTTTCAGACCCCTCACGCGAACTCTCTCTTTGATGTCTACACTGAGTCTACACTGAGTCTACACGAGTCTACATGAAGATACTGTGCCACCTGGTCGTTCGCTTGATTGGCTTAGCAAATCCAGTCTGAGCATCATAGGTGCTTGCCCAACCGGCTGTCTCTTTGCTTGCTTGCTTGCTTGCTTGCTTGCTTGGGCACGTTCTCACTACGTCTATTTGGTCCAAACTGATGTTGCACGAGCAGTCAATCCTTGCAGCATAGCCATCCGCAAAGCTGCCGGGGCTTAATGGAACGGAAAGGCAAAAACCCTAAACCCTAAACCTTAAAGACACGAACTCAAAAGGCAAAAACCCTCTAACGCCCTATGAATGCCTGTAAAAAGACTCAAACCGTAAACCCCATATCCTAAACCCTAAACCCACCCTAAACCCTAAATCCGAAACCCTAAACCCTAAACCCAAATATGGCCCTATGCGCCCATCCCAAGGCTCTCAGCGAGGTGCGATCCAAACCCCGATCTGCAGGCAGTGGGACTTCGTGGGCTCGAGGGCCTTAGGGTTTCGTAAGGCGTTAGAGGGTTTAGGGTTTAGGGTTTAAGGTTTAAGGTTTAGGGTTTAGGGTTTAGGGTTTCGGGTTTAAGGTTTAGGGTTTAAGGCTTTTTTACAGGCATTCATTAGGCGTTAGAGGGTTTATGCCTTTTGAGTTTGTGTCTTTAAGGTTTTAGGGTTTAGGGTTTTTGCCTTTTGAGTTGCTTAGGGTTTACCTTAACCTACCAAAACCCACTTTTTTGTAGGCTCTTCTTCTAAACCCTAGTATGGGATTTATAGGGACCCTACAAAAGAGTAGGTTCTGGTGGGTTCAGGTAGGGTTTAAGGTCTAAGGTTTAGGGTTTAGGGCTTAAGGGTTTAAGGGTTTTAAGGGTTTAGGTTTGAGAGTGCAGGTTTGGGGTTGAGGGTTCAGATTTGGGGTTTAGGGTTTAGGGTTTAGGGTTTAGGGTTTAGGGTTTAGGGTTTAGGGTTTAGGGTTTAGGGTTTAGGGTTTAGGGTTTAGGTTCGGGATTCAAGGTTTAGGGTTTAGCGCAAGAGCTTTTAGCGGGGTTGCTGCATCAAGGTCTTGGGACTTCATGGCCTGGGGCCCTTTCAAGCTTTTGGTTTCAGATTTTCAGGGGCCATTCAGTGCTTTGGATGTCAGCTTTTCTGCGAGGTTTGGGATTTGGTATTTGTGGTTTAGGAGTTTTGCTGTTTTAGGGTCTAAAAGAGGGTCCGGAGAGTTGTGAAACATGCGCCCTGTCTCGACTGTTTCCCTAGAGGCTCGAGGGACGTAGTAATTAACAGGATAGATGATCATTGCCCGTATAGATAAGCACTTACAACCGCAGGGTTGGCAACGCCAAACGGCAAGTGGGGCACTTACGAGCTTGCTCCTGTTGCAATCTGCGCCATACAGATTTTTGAGCACATGCGCCTCCGCAAGATGATTCGCGGCAAAGAAGGCGGCGTTTGCCCGACCACAAGATGGCACAACTTACTTCGCTTGTGCGGGCAAGAAAGTCAAGGATTACGAAGAGGAGTGGTCGTCCGCCTCAGTTTTGGATTATGGAGCGGAGTGGTCGTCCGCCTCATCCCCCTCAGCAGTCCGACCTTCACGAGGACGATTGGGACAATGGGACTGTTGGGGGCGACACGGAGGTTGGAATTTCTGAGGGTTACTTTCGTGGTGCAGACTCCATTGACGGGCGGGTTTTGGAGCAGTTCGACATGGAGGACGACTAGGAGACCGACGAGATCCAGAATTCATCAACGAAGGAGGAAGACTACGTGTGAACTTGCAACATCACTCACTGAATAGCTACGTCTGAGAGTTCAAGTAAGGCTGCACCCGAAGCCCTAACGAACCCCAAAGCTTGAGCCCAAAACCCTAAACCTTAAGCCCTAATCCTAACGAACCCCACACCCGGAACCAAAACCCTAGTGGCCTTGGTTTTGGGTGTGGAGTGAAAGTCTGGGATGTTGGGCATGGTTTGTTTTGGACTAAGACTTAGGACCCTATAGACTCTAAACCCTATCCTTTCTTTGCGGCTGTCCTGTCAAAGTCTGGTTTTGTAGGTTTGCGTTGTTCGAGCACAGTTTTGTGTCCGACTTGAAACCCTGACCCTAAGACACCCCAAAGCCTCGACTGCACCCATGGCCAGGTTCGAGCAGGGCTTAGGGTTTAGGGTTTAGGGTTTAGGGTTTAGGGTTTAGGGTTTAGGGTTTAGGGTTTAGGGTTTAGGGTTTAGGGTTGCGGTTTAGGGCAATGAGCATCGAAGATGGAGGAAGTACTACGGCTGATGATCTAAATCATGCATTATACCCATGATATGCAACCTACCAGAATTCCCGTAGTTCAGGGTCCGGGTCCCTAATAATAAGGCCCTAAACCCTAAACCCTAAACCCTAAACCCTAAACCCTAAACCCTAAACCCTAAACTTAAGGTAATGCAGGATTGATATCATCAACAGTCTTACTCTTAGGATTCCCTTTTGATGTGTCGGGCCGGGCTCTCGAGTTCGGGTTTGCTTCGGTTTTTAAAGTTCAGGGTCCAAGGCTGAATTTAAGGTTTAGGGTTTAGGTCTCAGGGCTTAGGGTTTAGGTTTTTAGGGTTTTAGGGTTTAGGTTTTAGGGTTTAGGGGTTCAGGTTTGGTGTTTCGGGTTCTCTCTCGTAGTACTACAAACTTTTTCTCTTGAAGGGCCCAACTATGCTTTCACTCCAACTAGGGGGTGCGGGAAGTCATTCCGAAACCACTAGGAATCCTAAACTCCAAAGCCCATGCCCCCGTCAAAGAAAAGAGTCTTCCAACTTCCAAGCCGAAACCCCCTTAAACCCTAAACCCTAAACCCTAAACCCTAAACCCTAAACCCTAAACCCTAAACCCTAAACCTCGCAGCTCCAGGTTAAATGACTAAAGGTCGTTCCGCTCTGTGCTCGGTGTTTTCGATATGATCATCCCTTTCCGTTTAGGGTTTAGGGTTTAGGGTTTAGGGTTTAGGGTTTAGGGTTTAGGGTTTAGGGTTTAGGGTTTAGGGTTTAGGGAATCATCCCTTTCGGGGGCTCCTCACAGAAGTGAGTTACACTTTGCTGCTGAGTTCCTTTCGGGGGTCCTTACCACGGTGACGTCCAATTCAACCATAGCTCAGAGAGCTGATACAAAAAGGCTGAACAATTATCAACATTATTCCTGAAGGTTTCTCAGATAACCTAAACCCTAAACCCTAAACCCTAAACCCACACTGTTAGTCTGATAACTCAAGGCCCCTATAGTAATTTTGCAGCAGGGGGTGGGCTGGAGCCCCCTGCACGCCCTGGCGCTGATGTCCCGAGGTGGGGCCACGGTTCGGAGTCGACCTGTTCTACTCTAAGGGCCCATGTGCCCAAATGTAGGGTTCCTTTAAAGGTACCACCATAAGGGCTTAAGGGTACTGTGGGTAGCCACGATTTAAGGGTTCATGTACCCAAATAGTATATACTTCGGCCCCAAAGTACCGATATAGGGACTACTTTAAAGTAAAGACCCCAGACATCCCCAACCTAAACCCTAAACCCTAAACCCTAAAAACCCTAAGCCCTAAAAACCCTAAAAGCCCTAAAAACCCTAAAACCCTAAGAATCCTCTTTAAAGCCAAAGTATATACTAGTTGGGCACGTGGACCCTTAGGGCCAGATCTTGAGACTTTTGAGACTGAGGCAAGGGTTCTGGGTCCAGGGGTGGTAGTGTTCAGGGGCTACTGTCGGGGCTTGAGCTAGGGGTACGTTTATTAGGGTTTAGGGTTTAGGGTTTAGGGTTTAGGGTTTAGGGTTTATTCCTTAAGACTCCCGCATATCTTTAAAACATAGAAACCCGCAAGCCCCCTGTTTGCCTTATCAGGTTGCTAGATAAAAACCAAAGCAAAGCCCTGAACCTGAAACATTCAGCTTGGATGAGCCTATGCGAATATGACCCGTAAACACCGAAACAAAAGCCCTAAACCCTGAACCCTAAACCTTGAACCTTGACGTTCTTTTCAACAGTAAACCAAGAAAAGCCATGGCGGTTTGGGGCAGGGCAGAACCTGCTATTTTGTAGAGCGTGGGGTGGCAGGTAAACCCTAAACCCTACTTGGAGGTTCACGGGTAGTTATAAGTGGGGTTACAAGTCCCCTAATATGGGTTATAATTATAGCTAGCCTTCTTATAACCCCAGTTATAACTAGGTGAGGGTCAAGGCTGTGCGAGGTTCAGGTAGGTAGGTAGTTCTCTGAATTAGGATAGAAGGTCCCCTTTTAAGGTTCCTTAAAGGGATCTACAAGGGTTCAAAGGGTCTTTGTAAGTCTGTAAGGGTACTGTAGGGGCCTGAAATTAGGTAGTTCTCTAAATAAGGGTCCCTTTCAGGGTCCTTGTTGTAAGTGTGCCGTACGATTTTGGGAACCTGAAACGGGACCCTAATGTAGAGAACTGCCGCTAGAGGTGTTAGGGTTCAAATGTCATGGTTTAGGAGTTTGGGGTTTAAACCCTACAGTATGAAAGCCAAAATAGTAACCAATACTATTTTGGGGGCGTTCCTTATTGTACGTATAGTATAATATACCCCAAAACCAAGGCCCCTACATAAAGCCCGAAACCCTACGACCTGCAGAAACAGGATCCGGAAAGCACCTTTCGGAGACTCAAAAAACCCTAAACTCTGAATTCGGTTTGGTGTTTGCATTAATATTTTTGTTGTTTGTGTTTATATATTATTGTTGTTATTATGATCATTATGATCATTACTATAACCATATCTATTGCTATTTCGAGTACTTCTCTTGTTAGGATCCCTTATTAGGGTTTGCATATATGTATATATTATGTCCTTAAATGGCGGGTTCTTTAGGGTCACGTAGGGTTTAGGGGACTGCTGAGGCAACCCATACGCGAAGGAGAAGGCGCATCTGCTGTTGGCCCACCGCGCAGATTCTGATCTGAATGGCAGTAGGCCTCATAGGGTTTAGGGTTTAGG